TAACAGTCCTAGGAAAAAATACAACATTAACAAGCATGATTTCACTGTAATGTTTTTTTCTCTCACAAATTAAACACAGCCTCTTTGCTACAAGGGACCAAATGTGTAAAATGCCTGATTTTTTTTGTTGTCTTTACAGAATCTTCCTAGATACAAGACACAGACAACATAATATAGCTAAAGTTGTTTCCCCTGAATTTAACAACTTCTATCTAACTGACTTAACTGCCCAAAACTACTCAGCCGGGTTATTCCGGGGTAGACTGCAACCGGCACCATTGTCTTTAATGCAGTAAAAATTTGAGGATAAGTATGAACACCATGCTCCCTCTACATATCCATGCTTGCCAAATAATCCTGATTAGATCCAGTCCTGATTCTCTTTCTCTTCTTGCAGAGAAAGAGACAGAAAGAGACTTCTCTGCAAGATTTCATCTTTCTCTGCTGGGAAATCTCTTCCATCACAAAACTGGCAAGTCAGTTAGCAATGCAGGAGTCCTTGACTTTAGGAAAGCTGACTTGGATAAGCTCAGAAGGCTTGTTGTCAAGGCCTTAAGGGGCCATGACTCATCAGGGAGAGGAATCCAAGATGAGTGGTTGCTCCTTAAGGGAGTGATCCTGACAGCACAAGGGATGTCCATCCCATCTCGGAGGAAGGGTAGCAAAAGGGCATAGCAACGCCCTTGACTCAGCAGGGAACTTGTGGACCTCCTACACCTAAAAAGAGAGGCTTATAAAGGATGGAAGACTGGAATCACCACAAAGGAGGAGTATTCTGCACCGGTCTGTACCTGTAGGGAGCAAACCAGGAAAGCCAAGGCTGCAACCGACCTCTATCTGGCTACACATATCAAGGACAATAAAAAGTCCTTTTTCAGATATATGGGGAGTCAAAAGACAAGCAAGGGTAACACTGGACCCCTGCTAAACAAAATAGGACAACTGATAACTGACACCCAGGAAAAAGCCAACCTGCTTAATGGGTACTTTGCATCAGTTTTTCATCAGCCCAAAGGGACCGCCCTGCCTAGCATGATGCAGGATGGCCAGGGTGAGGGCAAATTTATACCCAGCATCAGTGTAGACCTTGTAAAGGAACACTTTGAGAGGCTGGATACCATCAAGTCAGCTGGTCCTGATAGATTACACCCCAGAGTACTTAAGGAGCTGGCAGATGTCATAGCCCAACAATTGGCAAAAATATTCAAAAACTTGTGGTGCTCAGGTGAAGTACCTGAAGATTGGAAGAAGGCCAATGTGGTGCCCATCTTTAAGAAAGGGAGGAGAGTAGATCCGAGAAACTACAGGCCAATCAGCTTGACCTCAATCCCTGGTAAGATTCTGGAAAAAATTATCAAAGAGACCATTGTTAAAAAGCTGGCTAATGGCAACATCCTGAGTGACAGCCAGCATGGGTTTGTTGTGGGTAGGTCTTTCCTGACCAATCTCATTTCCTTCTATGACCAGGTGACACACCACGTGAGCAAGGGAGAAGTGATTGACATCATATATCTGGATTTTAAAAAAGTCTTTGATCTGGTGTCTCATGATCTCCTCATGGAAAAACTGGCCAACTGTGGCCTCGGCGACATCACAGTCTGATGGCTGGGGAATCGGCTCCCAGGGCAGACCCTCCAAGGTCAGACCCAGAGAGTAGTAGTCGACAGAAGTGAATCATTATGGTACTGCGCAACCAGTGGTGTCCGCCAAGGCTCAGCCCTTGGACCAGTTCTCTTTGACATCTTTATCAGCAATGTGGACACTGGTGTCAAAAGTGGACTAGCCAAGTTCACCAATGACACTAAACTTTAGGGTAGAGCGTCTATACCTGAGAATAGGCTGGTGATCCAGGCTGACTTGGATAGGCTTAGAGAGTGGGCAGACACAAAGCTCATGACATCCAATACCAAAAAATGCTAGGTACTCCATCTTGGAAACCCCCCCCACCACCACCACCACCACCACCACAGCATGCTTATAGGGCCGGCAGCGCTACGCTCTCTAGCACCTCGGCTGAAAGAGACTTGGGGGTCATGATTGACCACAAAATGAACATGAGCCACCAATGTGATGTTGCAGCTGGTAAAGAGAACAAAACTCTGGCTTGCATCCATAGATGCTTCTATGCGCATTAATTCCAGCTGCTGTAGGAAATTTGGTGGTGTAATGTACCTTAAATGACTTGAGGCACAGCAAACTAAAACTCCTTCAAGAAGTTTTAGTTTGCTGCCCCTACAGCTGCAGAGTGAAGCACCAGGCTCTGTGCAGCTCCACAGCTCTTCAGAAAACCCTGCAGGTAACCTGGCAGCAGCCCAGGAAAGCAGCTCTGCACAAGGAAAGTAGCAAGTCTGATTCTCCCCCTTCCACCCCCAAGCATGCATATCTGCCTGAGCTGCATGGGGGCCCAGTGCTTTCCTCTGCAGCTGCGGTGCCCCCCAGGACCACCTGAGTCAGGTTCTGCAGGCAGGTGCCGCCTGGAGGGGGGCCACCATGGCCGCGA